GGGGGGGGGCGTCTGGCCGTGGCTCGGGTACGCCTGAACTTGCGGAGCAGATGCTTTGGGCCGCGGCCAGCCCAGCTGGCGGTGGCGCCCGCCACGCCGCCTCCCCCTTTGACCCCCCCGCTGTCCTTGGGGAGGGGCGTCGCAGGGCTCGTCGCGAGGCGTCGGCGTCGCGGGTGCGAGAGAGGCAGGGAGCGACGACTATTACTGCTCGACCTCCCCGTCTCCGAGATGTGATGGAGGTCTTCGTGACTGCCCCCTCGTCTCTCCCAGCAGACGGCCGCCCCCCTTGTGGGGGCCTCCCGGTCGTCTTAAATCGGGGTCAACAGGATGGTGATTTCATCTCTGATTAACTGCACACAGTGTGCCCGTGTGATCGAGTTTTTATGTTGTACTTCTCCAGGCGATGTGTTTCACTGGAAAAACTAACGTTACCGAGGTAACGTTTCTTGACGCGACCAAACCAGGTAACGTTTGGTGATGCAACCAGTTTGTGATGGCCCTATCCTTTTGCATGGGGTAGGTCGCGTCAGGAAACGTTACCGGTCTTGGTCACATGATGAAACGTTACCATGGTAACGTTAGTTTTTCCAGTGTTGTTTCTCCTGAGGCCTGCTGCACAAGATTTGGTTATTTTCACTGATGGTGTGTGTCCAAGTGCGGAAAACTTCGACGCATTTTACAAAACGTATAGAGGCACTAGACGTTAGACGCTATGTTATGTGCAAATAAGCCATGATGTGCAACAATGTTGGCATGCAAACATTGCACATTTGTTTTTATCGGTGGAGTGGCTGAGGTTTCGTCTGGTTCATTTAACCCTCGTCGGTCTTCTCGGATTGAGAGAGGAATGACGGCGGAAGAGAGGAGGGGGGGGGGGTGCTCGCCATTGTGTTATTTAAGCCCCCCTCGCCGCGAATGCTGTGTCGCGGGCCGCGGGATGCGCTCCGCTTTGTAAGCCGAGCGGGCGTTATCCGTGCTATATTGGCGGACGGGCGGCGGGGATGCACTGATAATTCCCTCTTTTTGCAGAAGGCCTTGTTTTGCATTGCGAATAATGAAGGGTTTACTGAGAGGGAAACCGACAGGAAAATCGAGGAAAATTTTTCACGATGTTGTAAAATAAGTGTATAATTTGAAATTGTAAAATTACTAGCACGCTTGTGTCGACTTGCAATTCTTAAACGAGGAAGAATGGGTTATTTTACAGTAATTTATTTGGCCGCTTTGTATACGAAACAGTTTGCAAGTGGTTCACAATGACAAATAAGCAACAACCGTGTTCGCAAAGGGTTTTTTTTTACAGTGCGCGTTGCTTTTACGATATAATTTTGTTGGACGCAAACGATGGTGGTAGTAGGAAGGCGTATGTGGATGAGTGTTTGAACTGCCAACGCTGCTTTGAAGGCTGTGGCTGATGCTGGGACTAATCTGGTTTTCGAGTCCCGTTGGCGCGTGAAGCAGCTACGCACCGCTCACGTAACCATGTGTGTGCGGGGGTGGGGTGGGGGGTAACCCCCTCCCCTCCGCTGAGACGAGGATATGGGGGAAAGGGAAAGAGGAGGGGGGTGAAGACTCCTCAGGGAGTGTTCGGAGCTGGAAGGTGCGAGGGTCAAGGTGGTCGGGATCGAAGCCCCTTATTTTCGCGAGGAGCCTGATCCGGAACTAGCGAGAGGGAACGGTGGTGGGATGGAAAAGGAGGAGGGGGAGGGGGGGTGCTAGCCATGTGCTATGTAGGACTAGAGCTCGTGCGGAGAATCTGTATCTGTGGTGACGAGGCGCCTGCCTCGCTATCTCTCGACGAGTCGTGGAAGTCGCGACTCCAACCTAAAGCCCTACTCCAACACGTCGAACAAACTAGGTACTTGAGTAAAATGCGCCGTTATGATCACTGCAAAATAAAAGGCCTGCAGTCAATTTTACCTTTTACAATTTGAAACTGTTATTTACTGCCACTCTCCCGATGTACCGTGATAATTTAACAGCTTTTGAACTGTCGTAAAAATTGCCAATTTCATACTGTCATTAAATTAAGGATTACCAGCAGTGAATGTTTGAAATATTGAAACAATAAGTGTGGTTTTGGGACGCATTCAAATAAAACTGTTCTCCCTATTTTCTATATGATTAGAGGATTTGCTTGGGCGCGTGGCCGGGCTTGCACAATATGTTCCTTTCTTCCCGCCC